TATATATTATATCAAGAAAACACCAAAGAAGAAGACCAGGAAGAAGGATAACGTTCATTGGTTTTAGAAAGATAATTGCAATGCTAAACGAAGAATCCTATATGTGAGTCGCGATCAGAAGAACCCAAAACCCTACTAAGATTATTACATAATTAGTTAATCTGTTGAAGAAATTTTTGGCCAGAAATACTTACCGTTTGTACCCAAAATTCACTTTTCATAAAGACTCAGCACCAAGTCAAATTTCAAACAAGACTAAAGGGTTCATGGATGCAAATTTTAAATAAATATATGGATACCGAAGGGTTGTGATGCAGCTCTGATGGACTATGCAGTGTCCGAATGATTGAAATGGAGGCTTTGGAAGTATAACGCTGCTTTCACACTTTCACACATACGGTTTTCTAACAGCAACCGTGGCGTGCCGTGTAGTAATTTTATTTGCTTTGCGTTCACACTGCACACGATTTTTCACTTCGGGTTTTGTTTTGATACGTGACCAAAATGGACGAAAGAAAAAAACGCATGTTGTTACTAATGATATGGCATACTCGCAGAAAAACACAAAAAACAACAAGATTTTGGATTCATCCACTGCTTGAAAAGGGACAATTGATGGATGAATTTGTAACATTATTTCATGAGCTACGAGAGATAGCTCCAAATTTTTTAATTATTTTCGAATATCCATTAGGAATTTCGATGAATTATGCGTAAAATTGCAAGATGATTTACAAAAAGAGGACACACATATGCGATTGAATACAAAAGAATTTGAATACACTATTCCAAATATTTTCACAGAGAATAATAGAAAAACAGATACAAAAGAATTCGGGTAGAAATATTTACAAAAGGGTATAGTATAATGTTTAGCCAAATATATGTTGTAAATTAAATATGTGTAGCTGTGTTATTATCCGACACACTATATAAGTTCTTCTGTTAAGTGCACAATTCAGAGAGAAAAACCATCCTGAAAACAATTTTTGCCGTGTGAACACACGGCATTTGTGAATACTTCTTACACTTGCTTGCCTCACTGTTGCCTTGCACGGCTAGGGCGCCGTGCCGTTGCAGTTCCCATGCCGTTGCTGCGACGGCAGCAAACCGTGCTGTGCGAAAGCTTGCATATAATCCAATGTATTACTATTATACACGGCACCGTTACCGTGTACCGCCACGGCAAAAAACCGTATGTGTGAAAGCAGCGTAAGATTAAAGATATGGTAGATTTGAAAAGAGCTACACATAGGGCATGGAACGAAGTGCCTCATCAATAAACCTCTCGAGTCCTGACCTAAGGGGGTATGTTACATCTACAAGAATAAAGGAAAACGTATTGAATAAATTATTTGTAAATTTTTTAGGTATCAATAAATTTTTATCAAGTTAAAAGTGCCCTACTTTTACTTTGAACAACTCCTTGAAGAATTGAGAGTCCGGGAGTCAAGAGGTTGTCATTATGTACGCCGAATTCCGGGTTAGGACCTGGTTAGGAATAACAACATATCAGTAAAAGTGCCCTATAAAAATTTGGTAGAGTTTATTGATTCACTATTACATTCTAGCATAAGTTACGATACTCCCTTTCTCTGGGTTAACATTTTTAATTACTTTATTCGGACGTTTCAATGGTCGACTCCCAAATCCAAAATTACCAGAAATGTTGAAAATTCCGAACATGTCGAAATATATGAATGTCCTAATATACTGTCAGAAGTCAGTCAGTAGTCCACATAATAGTCTTTGAGCTTCTATATAGTATGTATATAGTAGGACTTTCTCGATTCTTCCGATCCAATTCAGTATAGAACATTTTACCTAAGGACAGTCCTAAACATTGGAAAACATTCTAGTTGAGAAGTAAATAGTCTGTTAGAAACATTCAAGAACATTCTAAAACATTCTTACTTTTTCTAAATGAGTGTTTGGTGTTTTACACGCAAACTCACGCACACACTAAACTTGAAAAATCCTGAGCATCATAGGAGATTTTTAGAAAACTCGCTCATGCAAAGCCGGAGTGATCGAGAAATCTAAACATATTGGCGTCACAGTACCTCAACGTTCTTAACCTCATATTGTTACACGGCGCGTGAATTGTCAATCTGTGTAGCGAGCTCGGAGCGGACAGGTGCGTCCTAGCCGTTTCTTTAATTTCTTTGCACGGCTGCGGCTGGTGCTAGAATGTAACATGGCCTTTACAGACATAGTTTTGATGATCTATCTAAGAGGAATTTAGAATTTATCCCCATTAAAAAAATAAATTGAAAGCAAATGTAAAATTTTGGACTACTTTAGATATAAGGTTATAATAATCCTAAATTAAAATAGATATAGGAACTTGTTGTTTGTCTTCGTGGCAACATGCAAATGTGATGACTGAAGAACCGATCATATATAATATACAAAAGGTTAAAAGGAAGTCCCTTATACAGGGCAGCGAACCATTGGGCTATCACAATCTGCATCATTTCCCGCTGAAAGGTTGGAACGTTCATATCCCTGTATTTTGTCGGCAGCAGCGTGCAATCATCCACATCAAAATTCATCAGTTGCCGCAGGGTGTAGGTTACTTGAGAGAGAATAAGTATTTTGCCAAAGAACCTATTACTACACTCAAAACAATAATGTATATGCTGGAATTGAAGGAAATTTCATTGTATAGGCACCATTTTTAATTAACGGAAATTTAAATTCAGAAAAATATCGTAAACTTTTGATAGAGCAACTTATTATTCCTATGCTTCAAAGGCTAAATATCAATTTTAATAAAATGTGGTATCAACAAGTCGGTTATCCACTCATAATGCGACAGCGGTTCGTAACTTTTTAGAAGTTACCTTCCCCAATCGCATCATTTATTAGCGGATGAAGCTGTATTAAATGACCTGCTAGATCTCTCGATTTATCCCCAAATTATTTTTTTCTTTGGGAATACATCACCGAAAAATTTATCGAAACAAACATGAACGTGCCAGTAATCTGAACGAGCTTTTCGTGAGAAGACTACCGAAGCGAGTAACAATATTCCAGTTGAAATATTGGAAAACAGTCGTCAACTGTTTAGCGATAGGCTCGAGTATTGTTTAGCACAGTAAAGTGGTGTATTTGAGACCCTTACAAAGAAATTTTTGAGGATTTACTATTACTTAATTATTATTTTTAGTAGAACAAACAGGATAGCTCAAAACCCCAACGCCAAAACACGACACTGTAGTTGACCGAAGCACTTTTCGGTAACAGAGTTACCTTCTTCAGGTACTGAAGTGAACTAAACCTAAATGAGAACTAATCCTAATTTATACTAATAGTTGTTAAGGTTCAGTAAACATGGCCCAATGCCAACAAGGTTGATGTTCAATGGGCCTTAACAATCGTAAAAGTAATTAAACTAGACTAAATAGAGGAGATCCAGGGATAGGTCCGTTGTCATTGTTAAGTACAATTTGTTTATTTTTATAAATGTATAAACTTTCAAAACTATCTAGTAAACAATTATTCCTAACTTCCTTAACTAACTTTAGATTATTAATATTAATATTATGTTCTTCAGTAAGAATATGTTTGGCAACACTAGATTTTTCTTCTCTACCAAACCGTGCATGAGCTAGATGTTCCTTAAATCTAGTTTTGATTGAGCGTCTAGTTTGTCCAATATATTTTTACTACAGTCATTACAACTAATTTCATATATCCCCGACTTTTCTAAGACTCTTTTTATTATTATTTTTAGTAGAATTATTAATTTTCTTAATATTTTTATTAGATTGATTATTTATTTTTAAGAGAATTATTAAGTATTGATTTTGTTTACCGGAAAATAGCATTTAAGTCACGTATGCGTGACTCATGTTACCAGACGTTTTGCACTCTTTTATAAATAACTTAGAATGCCGATACCATTAATTCGATAAGTATACATCAGTGACAAGTTGAGAACTGAACATAAAACTATTTTATTACATATAATCATGAATGGACGGCACCAGTTTTTGCCCTCAGTCATCGTTTCATATAATTAATAAAGTAATATAAGTCCAAAAATTGACGTGCGTGTTTTCCTGTACATGCGTAAAAAGTGAAAAGATTGCATATTATACAGTAGAACTTCTATAACTTAAACATCAAGGGAGACGCCAAAAAATTCGAATGATAGAGTTATAGACTTATGAAGGATTTTGATTCGACTAATAGAGGTTAAAATTTATTCTTACTAATTTTGAGTTAGAGAGGTGAAATAAATAAAAGTTTTCTTTGAACTGTAGACATAATAAGTTTCAAATTATCGGCTTGTAAAGGTTGTATAATAAAACATATATAAGTTCGAGATACAGAGGTTCAATTTAATTTTTCGAGTTGTAGAGGGAAAATATGTACCAAAATGGCTTGCAGAGACTCACTGATTATTTCGGCTAATAGAGGGTTGAGATTTCGAGTAATGGAGATGTTGGGGCTTGAAGGGAAGGAAAAAAAACATTTTTATTGCATTAAATACTTAGGTACTAAACACCAGAAAAATAGAACTTTATTTCGAGCGGATGAACGCAG